CTGTAAGCCTGGGCTACATATTGTTGCTACTCCTTGCAAAGCAGCTCGAGGTCCTCAGGTGAACCTTTCCTTATCTCTCCTCTTTCCACCTCACTCTCCAAGCTCCCATCCACACTGCATTGTCCCCTATGGGAAGAGAGCATTCTCCACAGCAGCCCCTGTCCTACCCCTTTACCAAGGCTGTCCCCTCCACACAAGTCTCCTCCCTGCCACCCAAGCCACCAGGCTGCCTCCCAGCATCCTCCATCTCTGCTGTCATTCTCGGATTGACTCTACACAAAAGACTTGCAGCTGCAGGTCTGGAGCAACAAACCGCTGGCAACCTGACGGGCTAAGGGCACAGAAAATGTTCAAGCTTAGCAGGAAAGCAGCGGGGAAAAGCCCTTAATCCAAACCCTGCGGAGGCAGGAGACTGCTCCAGTTCAGCCAGAGATCTGGGACTGCCAGATACCCACTGCTGCTTGGCCAGCAAACCCAGAGGGGTTTGCAACAGAATGGCTCAGCGCCCCCAGACCACTCTAGGGCAGCTCAGGCTGCTACAGCTTGAACTGAAATCTACTGCCCCTGACAACACGGAGCAGCAAAGCCTGACAGATCCATGTGGTGAGTGGCACGGAGCTCGGGAGCCAGGCTAGGTGGGTGCTGGGATTTCTGCCACCGCCCAAGGCCCAAGAAGTCAGTGCTCATCATGGCAGCGTGACCAACTGACAGCATCCCAGGGCACAATGATCAGCCACATTTAGGAGCATGTTCCTGGCAGGAATCAGGGCATAAGCAAAGCCAGGGAAGGAAAGAACTGGGTTAGGCTGACCTAACCCTTGGGCTAGACTGGCAGTTCAGCTCTGGGGTGCTGGTGGAGGTTCAGATGGCAGGCACAGGGAGAAGGTGCCCATCTCCTGCTTCATAGGACCTGCTGCAAAAGTTGTCTGGGGACTGGGAATGCTCAAAGAGTGCCACAGCAAATGCCTGCCAGGCACCAGCCACACCACCTACAGCCACGAGAGCTAAATTAGCACTCAAGCACTCAGGCACTTGTACTCACAATGCCTGCAGTGAGCTGCGTGCCGTGCTCCTCATAAACAAGTCATCTGGAAAATAAGTAAGCCTGTAAAAATCCAGTCCATCACAAGTTACCAAACCTGTTTCAGAGTAAAACAACCTAGAGCAGCTCATGCCAGAAGCCTAGCAGTGAAGCTGATATCGAGCTTCCCCACCAGTAGGACTCCCTTGGACCCAGCAAAACATCCTGGCACTGATAGCAGCATGGGGATGCCATGTAGGACTTTGTGGTGGCCAAAGCTGGCAAAGTATCAGAGTTTTTGGTACAGACTTGAGATCCATCTCTTCCTGTGCTCCTACCAAGCACTCAGCTTTCCTCCTTCTCATAATTTAGAAAGCACGAGTTGGCCTTATGTGGAGTGCTGCCAAAGAAGAAAGCCCAAACCCACTGAACTGCAGATGGAGCCAGCAGCCTGGTCCCTGTCCCCCTGGATTTGCTGAACATGCACAGCTCCATGGACAGTGCTGGATGCTGCTCCTACACACCTCCAGGAGGATCCCCAATGTTTTCCTCCAGGTCTCAGCACCACAATGCATTTTCTCCCACTTAATGTTCAAAGCCACCAGATATCTTCAGAATATGAAGGGATTTCTAGGAAGCTAGGACAGGGAGAAACTGATCTCCTTCCCCCAAAACAAAACAGAAGCAGAGCCTCTCTACCCAAGACATTTCCACTGGTGGCACCTCTAGCTGAGGACAGGCAGCTGGGAAACCTCTGAGCAAGCTCAGATGTACCTGGCCTCAACCAACCATGTCCCCCACAAAGACAGGGCAACCATAGTAATACCCCACAAGTGAGTCTCTTTCTCTGACTGCTGACTTCTTACCCATACTCCAATCCCAGCAACGTATTTTCCCCCTTTTTGGATGGAGAAAAAATAAAAAGCAACACATCAACCTCGCACTGAAGCAACTTTCTTTTCCAGCCTTAGAAGCAGGCTCCCCCATGCAGGCAGGAGGCACATGGCTAGGGCAGCAAAGGCAAAGATGGAAGAAAAACTGTTTCATTTTGAGACCTTGAAACAAACAAAATGAGAAGAAGCAAAAAAAAAAGGAAAAAAAAAGAAAAAAAGAAAAGAGGGTGCCTTGTTGGCTTTTCTTTCCCCCCCTCTCCTCTTTAAGCACTACAAAAACAGGAAACAAAGGAGAAAACATCTCACGGGGGGAAGGGGAGGTAAGCGCTTTATACGCCCACGAAAGAAAGATTAACCACATATTTTATTTACTGTTTGTATTACAGTTGCACCGTGGAGTTCAACTAATTCCGAGCCAGGGCTCTGCGGGTTTGTGCAGCACCTAATGCTGAGCGGGGTCCTTCCCCCAAACCCACCAGGCGCATGTTCTGCTTCAGGCAAACCCTGCACGGACACCCCCTTTCCTCTGGCAGACACCCACCTCCAGCCTCCTTCACCCAGCCAAAGCACTCCTGCCCCACCTGCCAGCTCAGCTGACAAAGTGCTGGTGCTTTTGAGCCCCCTTTCCCCTTCAAACCAGTCTGTAACCAGGGGTAAGGTGCCCTTTGAGGCAGGTTGGCAACACAGCCAGAGGAACAAATGCTTAAAAAGCAGAGTTTATGGGGAGCATGTTTGCAGGCTCCAGTCCCTCCTCCGGACCACGGGGGACATCCCCTCCACAGCAAGTTGGCGTTGTAACCCCCACACTTGCGAGTCCCTCGCACCCAAGGTCAGGGCTCCGATCCTCCAACTTTGACTCATTTCTCAATTAACGGCTCTCTGAGCACAAGCCACACATGGAACAAACCTCTCACAATGGGGCCTCCCCCGGACCTCCCAAGCCCAGCGTTACTCATCTGCCCCCCAGTCCCAGTCCATCTTTTCTCGGGATGCTCCGAGTGCGGCTCACCGCCGCTGCAGGGTGAGCAAGCAGCCAGGAATCCCGGGCCCGGCTCCCGCAGGCGGGAAGCCGTCACCAGCTGAGCTCATGCACCCTAATTCGGGAGCCAACGAGGCGAGGCCACCTTCCTTGCTGGCTGGCAACCGGCAGCTTTCAGCTGGAGACCCAGCCACAGCCATGGAGCAAGGGCTGGCAACCTGCTGGGTGCTTTTCCCAGGGGCTTATCCCTACTCCAGGCACTTCATGGAAGAAGTGATTCAACTATAGGGAGGATCCTTTGGGCACACTGTCCCCCAGCTTGGTGCTGTCCTTCAGTGACCCAGACTCCGTGCACCCAACTGAGCCACGCGCCCAGCGGGAAGAGACAAGCTTATCATCACAGAGAAAGGAAATTAAGATAACGTGGCGATGGAGGTACCGAGGGATTTGGCCAAGGTCACAAAACAATTCCATGGCTCTACGATACAACCGTCTAACACTTTTGGTGTCTGGCCACATATCCTAAAATTTCAAGCCGGGGCCAAAATCCAGCCTAGGCAGTGGCAGATTTCTGCCAGGTCATTAGCAGCGTGCATCCGCAAGAAGCGGCGAACATCCAGCCATAACAACGGCAGCAACAACAAAAAAAACATGCAAGAGCGGGAATAAATGAGATCAAAGTGTCCTGGAAAAGGACCTGGAAAAATAGTTTCGGTCCCTGGCTAAGGCTCCTGGGAGATGCACATGAGAACCCCATCCCAGCCCTGCACAGCCCTCCCGAGGTGGCTCCCCACCCTGGCAGAGGGAAACCAAAATGACTCCCTATAAATAGAAGCAGAAAAGCGCTTCTCCAAAAGACTGACTGGGTCTTTCCCCTTCCAGCGTGTGTGGTGGAGCTGCTGGCACCTCCGTGGAGGTCCCTGGTTTTCCCCCAGAAAACCTGGAGAGGAAAATAACCTTCCTGTGAGCTCAGGCTGGCTCCTCTCTACACAGAGCTGCACCCCCCCGCCCCACTCCCAGGCCTGGCCATCCAATTGGAAAGTAATTATACTGCAATTTTTATTTATGACTTCTTCGGGTTTTTTTATTGCTAAATGGTGACTCATTTTGGCAACATTAAAATACACAGGAAATCATCCCCATTTTACAGTAATCACCATTCAATTCATTGTTAAATATTTATTCGGCAGACAAGCGCCAAGCCTCTTTCGAAAGGTCGGAGGGGGAGTGGAGGGGCAACCCTGAAAAGGGGGAAGGTGGTAGAAGGGTCAGGGCAGGGCTGGCCGCAGGGCTGGTAAATGCCCGCCAGAACTGGAGGGTGGGGAGCCAGGGGTGAAAGCTCCTGCCAGATGGCCTGGCCAAGAGCAAAATACAGACCCGCTTTCCCTCGAATCCAGCACAACAGACCAAGCTGCTCTAGGGAGAGAGGCAGCCCTGTGCCCCCTAATAAAAAATCACATTATTTGGCCAAATCCCAAGACTGTATCCCCACCAGTGAGACGTCATGGGTCTCTGACACGTCACGGGTCTCTGACACGAAGCTCTTCCATTGCCGGGGGGAAGAGGATGGCGGCCACCGGCCCCAGTGGGAGGCAGTGGGAAGAGCAGGCAGTTTGACATTCACAGGCCTTACAATGGACAGGGTCTGCTCCTGCAGCCGCTTTGTCCTCCCAGGAAGCCCAATTTTGGGGTGACTCGACCTCAGCTGCAGGCAGCTCTTCTGCCTTCCCCCAAACAGCTGCATAGCCCAGCACAAACCTGGCAGATGGCCCCTCCAAATGCCCCTGGCCCAAGACTGCAACCCTGCCCTGCAGAGTGCACACCCAATGGGCTGTAGGACCCACAGCTCAACAGCTACAAAGGCCCCACAGCACAGACACCTTCCCCGGGGAGCCCCCCTGGCACCCCACGGGCTCCGTCACTGCTTGGCTGGGAGGCCACCCAACATGTCTGCCACAGGGGGACCCCGGGCGGAAGGAGGAGCAGTGCCAGGATGGATTTTATGTAGGTCCTACACAAACACAGGGGAACAGACATGGCAGGGAAGAGGGTGGCTGGGCGGTCCCCAGGCTGGGCAAACCCGAGCGTCCAGGATGGTTGGACTCACCCGGATCTCATTGCGGCGGATCTCCACGTCGCAGACCGAGTGTCCCTGGTGGGCCCCGCTGTAGTAGCAGCAGAACTGGCAGACGGCCACCTGCTCGGCCTCGCAGTGGTACAGGCGGTAGGCGTTGTGCTGGGGGCAGCTCCAGGCCCTCACGTCCTCCGCCTCCACCAGGAGATGCCCCCGGGCCGTGGAGGGCTGCTGCAGGTGGGTCTGGACGTGGGACTGGCAGCACGGAGCCTCGCACCTCAAACAGATCTTCTGGGCCGGCAGCGGCGGGCCCCGGCGGCAGAAGACGCAGTGCAGGACCGAGGGGGGCTTCTCCAGGTTGAGGGAGTTGAACTTCTCCACGATGTTGGTGAGCTTCAGGTTCTTCTCCAGGTTGGGCTTCTGGTTGTAGGCCTGGTTGCACTCCGGGCACCGCACCAAGCCCGACTCCTTGGCCCACGCCTCCCCGATGCAGCCCCGGCAGAAGTTGTGCTTGCAGGGCAGCTGGACCGGCTCCACAAAGACATGCAGGCAAATGGGGCAGATGAGCTCCTCTTCGAAGCAGTTCTTCCAATTCTCGGCCATCTCTGCCGGCAGCTCTGTCGACGCTTCCCCCCAGCCGCTTCGGTCGCTCAGTGCGGTCTAGGGGCGGACGCCGGGGTCTGTCCTCCCTGAAAGGGGAAGGCTGAGGGTGAACGGACAGGCTCCCCCCTCCCCGCACCACACGCCATAAATAATAAACCGCAGCAGATTTTAAAATCGGGGATAAAATAAGCTACAGAGCAGCACTCTAGGAATATCCGGCAAGAAAACGCAACGTCCCCATCGCTTCGTTAAAAAACCAACACAAATGGTCAAAAAAACCCCAACACGATCCTGTCGGACTTACAGCCCGAAGTCCTAACCACCCCTAAAAGCCATTTGCTCCTTTTTACCCCAGAAGGTGAACTGAAACTTACCAAAGGTTGAAAAAAATCCATACAAAATCCAGCAGCAGAGTCCAAGTTCCATATAAAGCTCCTAAATTTAGCGCTCCGGATCAGATTTTTCTTTTCTTAGGTTTGCAACTGACATTCAATATTTTAAAGGGACTTTTGTCCCCCACCAAACCTGGGCAACAGCTGAGGGCAGCGACTCGCTCGGGCTTTTTTTTTCCCTTCCCTGTATTTCTCCTCCCTCTCCCCCTGATGGGAGTTGGGAATCAGAGTCTTTTAAAGGAAACAGATCAAAGGGTTAAGATCCAAAACGGGAAAAGGAGGAAGATTAAAAAAATAATAATAATAGCGACGATGACGATGGCGGAAAAACGAATTCTCTCTGCGGCCCCCGAGATTTGCTTCTAAATCGGAGGAGCAGCAGGGGAAAAAAGGAAGAGGGGAAAAAAGACAAGACAGGAAAAAAAAAAAAAAAAAAAAAGGAAAAAAAGAGAAAAAAAAAGCTCTCTCGCCTGCTTCGAGATTGCGAGGTCTTGAATGGGAGAGCTCGGTCATTCAGAGCAAACGCCAGCCCAGCACAGCCCGCCCAGCTCCTCCAACGCTCCCGGAGAGGGATGGGAGAGGGGACGGGCTTTGCCACGGGGGGTTCTGAGCCCCGCGGACCCCAAATCAACCTGCTCTCACTTCCCACCAGGGCTGGGGAGAAAAAGGCGCCCGGAGGGTCCGTCCTAGCCCGCTCTCATGGCCGGCCCGGGGGTCGCAAGCCCCCGACGGTAACAATGCTTCGGGGCGCACGGACGGCGCCCGAGCCGGCGGCGGAGCGCTGCCTTCCCCGGCGCGGCCCCGCCGGGAAGGGGCGAGGCGGCGGCGGGCAGCCGGGAGGAGCCGGCCGGAGCGAGCGGTTCCGGGAGAGCCGAGTCAGCTCTCAGCCATCTTGAGCTGCCCGGCTAAGAACGGAGACCGGGAGCGCGTTAAAAATAAAATTAAAAAATAAATAAATTTAAAAAAAAAAAAAAAAAGAAGAAGAAAAAAGGGTCTTTAAAAAAAGAAATTATAAATAAAGTCACCAGAACAACCCCGCTCCCGGGAGCCACCTCCTCCGCCTGCCCAGCGAGGCTCTGCGGAGGGGCTGCGGGGCCAGGCGAGCCCGAGCCGAGCCGTCCCGTCCCGGCGGGGCCGCTCAGCACAGCCCCCCGCGCCCGCCCCCGCCGCCTCCTCCAGCCATCTTGGGGTCGCCCTGGGCGCCGGAGCCCCACGCCCCGGCTTCCTCCCGCCGCCCCCGGGGAGGCGGCCGCGGCCGGGGAGGGGGGGGAGGAACGCGGAGCGAGGCGGGTGGGGGCGCGGAGCCCCGCAGCGGGAAGGGGAAGGGGGGGCGGCGCCTCGGGCTCAGCCCCGGCGCGGGGGGCCGGGGCGGCGGCGGGGGGCGGGCGGGGCGGCCATGGGGGCGGCGGCCGCGCGGATCGATCAACCGGGGAAAGGGGTGCGGACGGACGGGCGCGCGCCCCGCCCCGCTCGGAAGCCGGCCGGGGTGGGGGGCGGAGCGGAGGCGCCGGTGCCGGTGGGTCTCGCCGGGCGCTGCCGCCGCCGCCGCCTCGGAGCTGCCGCTGTGCTGCGGCGGGAGCAGCCCCGCCCCGGCCGCGGGACCGCCCCGCGCGTCACCGGGCACCGCCCCCGCCCCGCCCCGCGGCCCCGCCGCCGTAAAGGGGACACGGCCCGCGGTGGGGCCCGGCGCCGACCGCCGCCAATCTCCGCCGGTCTCCGCCGCTGCCTTCGAGGAGGCCGCGCTCGGCATGTCCCGTCTGGCCACTGCATCGGCCGTAGGGCCCCCCTGCCCGGCCACCGGCGTCCCTGCGCGGTCCCCGCTGCTCAGGGTGCCAGTCCGTAAAAAGGCAGATTGCCCTGGAACCATTGCACATCTGGGTCACAGCTGGTGCTGGGCACCGTCCTCATCGCCGTGTACAACTTCCTCGCGGCGGGAACAGGAGGGGCAGGCACTGGTATCTTCTCTCTGGCAACCAGGGACGGGACCCGAGGAAATGGCCTGAAGTTGTGTTAGGGGAGGTTGAGGTTGGGGTTGGATATTAGAAAAAGGTTCTGGTTGGGCACTGGAACAGGCTCCCCAAAGAAGTGGCCATACCACCAAGCCTGCCTGAGTTCAAGAAGCGTTTGGAAAACACACTCAGGCACACTGAGGATGTTTAATTCTTGAAGATGTCTTGTGTGGGCCAAGAGTTGGATTCGATGATCCTTGTGTGTCCCATACAACTCAATATTCTGGGATAAGTGCCCTCAAGAGCCTCCTATGTCCTCTTGGCTGGCTTCTAGATGGGCTGTTACTTTGCATTTAGATGCATTTCCTCCCTGTGCAGAGCCACAGCCGTTTGTCCCCTGGGGTCTTTCCCAAACCAGAACCCCCAGCACCTTCTGCCAGAGCTTGGGGCACAGAGGTGTCTGTGTTAACAGCTCTCCCACCAAATGTTTCCGCAGCTGTTTTGCGGGATGCTGTATATCTAACCCCTGCCATATGTGCCAAGCTGCTGGGAATAAAGCATGTTGCTGGTGGAAATCCATTTCGCACTGGTAAGAGCGTCAATGGCTCAAAAACAAAGTATTTACATCAAAAAATGCTCGGGGTCCACAGTCAGGTTTGTGGTGGAGTGACAAGAGGGCAAAGGCTCAGTCAGCAGCTTTGGGATCCAGCCCAGACCTGACCCTTGGGTGACGCTCTCTGATGGCAATTTGCCTCTGGGAGTGATTTAGCAGGAATTCCCCATCTGCAGCCTCAAACGTCTGAAGACACCACTCAGCAGTGTCTGCTATAGCACCCTATATCCCAGTGCCTTGGACCACCCAGGGCAGCCTGCTGGAGGGATGAACATTCCACACCACTCCCAGTGTGGGGATTATCCAGGTCTTTCCACACTGTGTTTTACAGGAACCCCCTGTGCGTAGACAGGCCCTGCCTAGAGACACTGATAAGGAGACAGTGATGGCTTCTGCTGGGGCTCACCCCGTGTCACTCCTCGGCCGCCCCCCTCCATCCCTGCCCTCCTGCGGCTCAAGTGAAAAGGGAGCAGTTTGCCTTGCAATTCCTGTGCCAGGCCTCGGAGCCCATGGGCTGTACCTCTCCTGCAGGGTTTTACAGCCAGCCGGCAGCCAGGGCTGGTGGGAGCTGGGCAGGGCAGCATGAGATGTGTCAGAACCGCAGGCGACTGGCAGAGGCCGTGCGGAGGCAAACCTCTCCTCAAAAAGTCAGCGCAAAACTATTCATGACTCTCACTTCTCTATAAACACACACTGTACCAGACAGCCTCCAGTGACAGCCACCATCCCCACCCCAGCCAGCACAGGGGCTTCTCAGGCCCCCTGTACTCCCACTGTGGCTGTGCTGGGAAAGCTGGTTGGTATTTACCAGTACTTAAAAGAGGAAGGTGGATGGGATGGGGCTTAGCCAAGCTGAAAGATCCACCCTACTCCTGGCTGGGAATCTCTCTGCCCTGGGACTGGCACTGGCACTCTGTCATCATACCCACATCTGGATGATGCCATCTCCCTGCCCATGCCAGAGAAACTCCCTTGGCAAGGGAAGCCCCAAAGCCAGGCTGGGCATTGCAGCCCTTCCGCAACCAGCGGCAGCTGCCTGGAGGAAGGCAGTAGACAGGGCCACCTCTGCCTACACAGCTCCCAAACCTCTTCCTGACAATGCTGGCTGGCTGATGAACACCAGCAGGGGCAAGCAGCAGAAAGCCTGCCCATGCTTCAGTCTCCCCTCCACCAGGATCTTGGTGTGGGTCCCAGACCACGCCAAGGGGCCACAGAGGTGGTTTGTAGCTGAGTGCTGGTGTTCATCCCTCATGCTCCCCCAAGCCTCAGTTTTCCCAGCCACTGCCAGGCCATCATTCCCCTTTCCTGAAGGGAGACCATCATCTCCCTTCAGCAGCCCTTAGTCCTGCTCTGGAAAGACCACTTCCTGCCCTGTCTCCCCAGTAACGTGTCAGCATCTCTGCTGAGCCCTCAGTGAGCACTGGCTGGGCTGCAGGTACCCCCTGCAGAGCCACAATGCTCAGGCACTTGTCACTGGTGTCTGGCATTGAGGTGGCCTGGGATGTCCCTGGGAGCAGGGATGATGTCCCTGGGAGCAGGGATGAACTGGCTGCTCTGTAGAGCCAAGGTACCAAACTCATTTTGGTGTTTGGGGCTTGGGACCCTGCTGAGCTGATGGTAGAAGGAGGGTGTTTGCAGAGATTTACAGAGAGGTTGGCTGTTAATGTGACACCATCCCTGTCTGCCACCACCCTCTCTTGGGAACACTCCTGAAGGCTCTGGCACCCAGCCCTGCACCTTCCCCAGAAGCCCTGAGCCCTCTGGAAGTGATACAAAGTGCTGTGTTTCTTGGGTCATTTATAACTCAATTAACCCATCAGAGAAAAAACACCACTCCCCTTCTGTCCCCTTCTATGTCAGGCTGTTGAGGTGGCTCCGTGTGATGGAGAAATCTCCCTCCACCTCATCCAAGTGATTAACACACTGAAGTTTTTCACTGAAGTTTAAGTTTTAAGCTGCGTTTAAGGATGTAAGGAACTTGCAGGGTGGCAACAGTCTGGTTTCCAACACTAAATATGTCTGCTGTCGCCATCCTCTGTTCCTGTTTGGGGTGGAGGAGGAGGGAAACAGCCCCATGGAAGAGGAACAATGCAGAGGTCCCCATGTCACCTGCTGGCCCAGCCCAGGACACACCACCAACATGCACCACTTGTGCCCAGCCATGCCATGGAGTCACACCTGTCCCTCACACACTGTCACCTGCCTGCTGTGGCATCCTCCCAGCCCAAAGCCTTTTGGGAGAAGATGCACGTGTGTGTATGCAGTGTGTCTGCAGGGGAAACCTTCTGTCTCTGACATTAATAAAAAGGGACCAGAAGCAGGGTGTGCAGCCTGGTCCCCACAGCACACAAAGCAGGTTCCAAGTCCCACAGGCACTGGGATCCAGTGACACCCACATGTGACACTGGAAGCTGGGAGCAGGTCTGGAATGGTGTGCTGGGTGCGGGGATGGTGATGCCCTTGTTGGCCCCATGGGAGAGCCTTACCCTTGTGCAATGGGTGTGCAACTGGGGCTCCTCTTGGGGCAAAAATTCTGGGCTTTCTCCCTTCCTCCCTGAGCCTAAAGCATGGGCCAAAGTGGGTATTGAGGGCTGGCCAAGGGGAACTGCCTGTCAGGGTGTTGGAGGGGAGCTCTGCTTTGGTTCAAGCAAATCTGGGGTGTAACAGCCCAGCCCAGGCCAAATCCAGGGGTGCACAGCTGTGGAGCAGGGATGATGCTCCAGGGCTCACCCCCTTGGCTGAGCTCGGGGTGCTGCTGGTGCTGGTGAGTGCGGAGTGGGCCGGCAGCTGCGGGGCTGGAGCAGGGGGAGCCGGATGAGGGCCGGTGTAGTTCCCTGCTT